GTGCTGTGTGCACTGGTGTAGATGCACTTCAGTTGGGGTATTGATCCCGCCACCTTTTTGGGGGGAGAAACTCTTAATTCCTACGTGACCATTCTCAGGTGCTTCCGTGGTTTCTAAGACACCCATAACCCTTGCGTCTTTGCTGCCACACGGATCTCCATCCCCTACCTCCACTGAGACAGCAGACCAAAGGACCTCACTAGCACACCATCCCTCAAACGTCGGCATGCTGCCCCAGGCTTATCTCTAGCGAGCCTGGTTTTATCCCTTTCCCCCTTCAAATCTAGTTTAAAGCTCTTTCAATGAGCCCTGCTAACTCCTGTGCAAAGATCCTTTTCCCCCTTTGAGGCAGGTGTACCCCATCTGTCGCCAGCAGGCCTGGTGTCGTGTAGACTGACCCATGATCAAAAAACCCCAAATTCTGCCAGTGAGTCCAGGCTCAGAGCCAGGTATTGATCTGCTGGCTCTTCCTGTTTCTTCCCTCATCATTCCCTGCAACTGGAAGGATAGAGGAGAACAGTAACCCTGAGAACGTTTTAAAACACTATTTAAAAATCCTCTTGCAAGGTGGGGGAGAGGGAAAGCGGTCAACATCTGTCAAACATAACTTAAAGCTCTAGCATGTCTTAGCCTGTGGCCAGAAGTCCACCTCTGAAAGAAAGGCCAGATCCTGTGTAGTCCCACAGCACATCACTATGTACAGGGGCTACAGAGCTCCATATCCCGATGCTTCCCAAATCACAACTTGCCAGGGAAGTAAGTTGCTCAGCAAGAAATGTGTCAAAGACCTTGCAGATCCTGGTGCTCAGAGGTTGACCATCAGATGTGCGGTCTTATGTCCCTCACCCTTGGAAAGGATGTGGATTTATGACCTGGATGCCTGATAGGAGCTTTGATAAGGCTCCGAGCAGGCCTGATGAAATGGCATTGCCCCTTTCCTCATACTAGATTGCAGTGTCCAAGAGCAGCAGCTCCGGGCTAGCTTTAATATTTCATGCTTTGTGCCTTGGCTGGTCAGTGGTCTTTGTCTCTGAAGCTGTGGGTCTGTACAGGTAGGGGTGGCATTTTGCCCAGGTCCGAGTATCGCGCATCCCTTTGAGATAATCTCATGGCACCTCAGCAGACCGGGCTGGAATCGGCCTGAGTCCAAAGATCCTTGCCAGTGAAGCTCCCCGCTATCTCTGCCTGCAGGTGCAGACACGAGGGGCGTTCCTTCTGCTTATGGAGATCGTTCGTCTGCTTGGACTTGTAGAAACCAACATGGCGAGTGAGCAAGCCCAGCTTCTCTTGAGACTGCTGATACCAGTCGCCAAACTGTACACTGGGAAGCAGGTATGGAACAACCAGTTTGGTTAGCCCGGAGTGGGGCTGCGTGCCACGTGAGCAACCACAGAGCTGGCAAGAGGAGTGTTAACACGGCCAGCGTGAAGGATATCCCAGCAGGGGATACCGGCAGTGACCTCTAGCTGCAGGGCCTGCAGCAATTACTGCTCTGCACCGAGGCTGGACTTTGTGGGTAGGAGACTTGTCCCTTTGCGCTCAAGGCCACAGATCAGCCATCCGATCAGAACAGACGGAGCCAGCACTGTCTGTGAAGTACTCCACATGCCACAGAGGAATGCTGCTGAGGCTGCCCCAAGACCAAAGTGGGGCACTGAGCCACACGGGGAATATCTTTCCCCGAGTTATGAATAAAGAGAAGGTGTTAATAGCATTAGCCTTAACTTCAGGGGTCTGTCCCTCTTCTAATTGCCCTCAGCTTAAATACACAGAAGCTTACACACCATAGGCAAGTAGAAGGTGAAGACTCTCCTGGAATAGAGACACGTACTCCCATGTACCAAGCAAACCACAGGTTTATCCTTACCTAGAGAGGACTGTACTGAGACAGGCTCTCCCTGGATCTTCTCCCGAGGTCTGACTGTTCCTGCAGGTCCTCTCTCAGTGTTACTCAGTCTTCATTCCCCGGGCTGCTCCTCCCGCATATAATGAGCAACCTGCCTCAGCAAATCAGTGGGATCCGGTCAGTCCCATCCCAGCAGGAACTGCTGGGTGATGTTAGAGGTTTCT